TCTTGAGGGCGCGGCGGAAAGTAAGGAGATCCGGAATCATCCGGATCTCGGGGGGTAGTTCGTTCCAGAGGGTGGGGGCACCCACAGAGAAGGCCCTCCCCCTGGGGGTCGCCAGCCGACACTGTTTGGCCGACGGCACCCTGAGGAGACCCACTCTGTGGGAGCGTACCGGTCTATGGGAGGAAATCTGAGGCAGATTTCAGATTCCAAGCAAATTGTGGTTGAAAGTGGTTTTGGAGGACTAGGACTAGATGTGGTGAGTAGGATGTAAAGTATTTTACCTCTCTAACACTGTGATATGGTCATTTTACTACAAGGAGATTCTAGCTAGCCATAACTCAATCAATGATTGTGTCAAGTATAAATGTGCTGCAAGTAGATTTTCCTTACAGATGTGCATATATGCAAAGCCCATCAGCAACTTAAAATGGTACCGTGGACCATAGCTAACATTAGGCCAATTGATCCCATATGACATGACTAACATTAGGTCAAGGCTGAAAAGCTGGTTTTACTGTTTGTGGGAATAATAGGTCATGACTAATTTGAGGCCAAACTCCACAAGTTTCTGGGAATAAGGGAGCCATACGTTTTCTTTATTAGTAAAAGTGGAACGGAGCAGAACAACTTATTTTACTGGGCAAATATGTCATCTCAGAAAGGAAAGAAAGATTGCCAGCAAGCTACAACTGTTAAGTTTATGTTGCACTGACACTTGTAACTGGGCATCTGTCACCTTCCTATAAACAGCTACAGTTATAGTGTGTCAGTCAAGGAGATAAACAGTGGACATATATACTATTAAGGCTTAGTATGAGTATCCTGGAAATTGCATCTTCCCAAGGAACCATACTTGCCTGCAAAAATCATTCAATCCTTGGGTTTCTAGCTTGGGGCTGGTTTAAATTTCAAAACATCAGGTCCAAAAGGTTAACAAGAAGCTTTTTTCAAATGTGCCTGAGTGAATGGATGGTTATTATCTCGAAATGGGATAATTGCTGGTATTTACTTGGGTACTGCTAATCCATTTTGTTTATTTATTAAGTTTTGAAGCCATTTCTTTTAAGTTGAAGAAGGACATCACATAGGTTCTTTGCTACACATTAGACAGTTTGGAAGTTTGTTGTGTTCTCCTTTCCACAGCCCTCCTCTCTCTGCTTTAAATGAAAGTACATTTCAAAACTCTTTTGTAATGAAAACTATATTGTAATGAAATCCATGAAGGGTGCTTGGTAGACATTGTCTGAATTATGCCAGCAAGCAGGGATTTAGTGAAAGGAACAAGAAAAAACCACAGAGTTGCCTGAAAGAGATAGGAGAGAAAAGCTAAACGGAAGCAGTTTTTGAAGAATAAGAAAAATGTGGCTGCTTTCAACCACCTTCCCTCCTTTCAAACTAGGGATATGGCTACTTGACCAAAAACAACACAGATATTTACCACATAGATACTGGGGAACTGTAAGAATATATGATCACTATTAATGTTAGAGTCAATGGATGAAAGCTTTTCCATATATGTCCTTAAAGATTAGATTTTTTAAAAAACTCAGGTTTTTTCACCTGAAGTGAAAACTGGAACATTAATATGAATAATCTGTAAGTTATCTATCCAAAGGGTTGTTGTGAGGTAATGGTGAGAAGTATTGTAATTTTTACTCTGCATGATATGTGCCCCAGAGGTGAAAACTACTGGCCATTTGTGAGGTTAGTGTAATAAATTCTCAGTTGAATCTGATAAGTAAAGATTTGTTATTGTCATACCCATTATTTACAAATTTGTACTGAAACGTAAGCCATTTTACACATACCTCTACTTTCATAGGAATCAGTTTGACCGTTTTGAGGCGCACTTCCTGGGACACGTGCTTTATGGTGAGAGTACGGGTGCAAGAGACAGATTGTGCTGGATCACAGTGGTAGTTATCAATGTACACTCCAAAGTTGTAGATGGTGTGATTAATCTCTTCCATTAGGACATAGGTACAATTACCTTGGTAACTGTAGTAGAGGCCATCAAATGTCATATAATGTGGATCTCCCCAGCCAGTGCAATAGCCTTCAGAAAGACAATAGAGTTGATTATTTGCTGGGAACTTATATAAATAACTAAAAGAAATGGCAGGGGTTCCTAATGGATTTGGGGAATAAATTAGTCTAGAAAATCTAAAAAGAGTTGTCAAGAAAACTGTGATTAGAATAAAACATTGTCACTCTCATTTAAGAGATGAGCACAAAAGGGATATTGAAATTGTCTGACAAATTTGGGGGCAAAAAACCCTGAATAGACAATTCTTTGAAATTTCCCCATAAGAAAAAGAAATTCTCACATTGCTTTCCAATTACAGAATTCTCCCTAAGCAGAGACAGAAGCATTTCAGTAGGAAAAGCATGCTGGAACCAGTTCTTTTCTTCCTTTCAATTTTTTAATTTTGATTTTGCTCAGTATTTTAAGCAATTGCTAGATAATAAGAATATGATGGGAGAGAATATTTTTATTTATTTGAATTGATTAGATTTTCATATCTAAGGTTTCGTTAGATTAAATTTATTATTTATCCATCTATCTATCTATCTATCTATCTATCTATCTATCTATCTATCTATCTATCTATCTATCTATTTATTTATCTGCACGTATTCTTTCACAAGAATAAATCTGTCTGCATTTGTTCTTTAAAAGACTGTTTTATTTGTTTTATACGGAAATGCCAATATATACAGTCAGTAATATAATTTTTTTTCTTCCTTTTGTAGAAGGAAGTAACTAGTACTGATTCATAAGAACTTCTTCATGAATTAGGTACTTTATATGTTATTTTATTAATTGTATCTGTTCCATCCATCACATGAGAAATTGCTCCCAACAGCAATAGCATGCTTGAAATGGTGTCTGAAAATATCATTAGTATTTTTTCAAAGTATTACTTTAGCTATTTATTTTGGAGTGCCTTTGAGTCAGTGCTCACTCTGGGTGATTGCCTGGACAAGATCTTGAAGTTTCCTTGGCAAGATTTTAGAAGTGGTTTGCCATTACCTTCTTCTTAGGGCTGAAAGAGGATGAATGGCCCAAAGTCACTCAGCTGGATTTGTGCCTCAGACAGGACTAGAACTCCTAGTCTCCTGCCTAGTGGCTTAAGCACTACGCAAACTATTGTTTTCATTAGTATAGCATTTAGTTTCCTTCATTTTAATTGTCTACCAAATAGGATTTCAGCTTTCCAGTGTTTCTGCATGCTAATTTTCTATAACCAGGAAACATTCTTAATGTCAAAGGCATAAGTGTTGATTTCTTATTGTTTGAGCATGGGTCAATGTATTTTCTTGCTTTTTTTTTAGAAAATGCCTTTTTTTTATTTTCTTCACAATGTGTCCTGAGACTGATCCCTGAATCTCTTCACTCCAAGCTCAATTTATAGGAATAAGCAGCTTTTTCAGGAAATGTCACTATACAGTATTTGCAATACAACATCAGTCCAATAACTTGAGGGATCCTTCAAGAGAACATCAAAGTTGTTTATATAAATATATGCGCTCACAGTCACATTCCCAATGCGTGCAGCATCTGTTTTCATCCAATACTTCTACAGGAGCAAGCCCATTGGCACACTTGGGCTTTGGTGGACGTTCGCATTTTACAGGATACGTCTCCCATTTGTTATCTGTAATACACCGTAACTCGGTGCAATTACATATGCCCCCACTTTCTCCTGGCAATATCTGAGACAACAAAGAGAAAATGTATCACACTTTATAATCCTGATCAAACATGCAATAAATGAATGGATTAGAAGAACTAACTTAACAGAAAAACAGAGTTGGAAGGGACTTTGGAGGTCTTCTAGTCCAGGGCTTTTCAACCTTTTTACCGATTGTACCACGTTTAGGATATGGCAATATTCGAGTACCACCTAGCAAGGTGTCAAAAACTTGACCAAAAAAAAAAACCTGTTCAAAGTTGCAATTGCACTGAAATGATTTATGACCATTTTTCATACTTATGACCATTGCAGCATGGCCAGGGTCATGTGATTTATATTTGGATGCTTGGCAACTGATTCATATTTATAATGGTCACAGTGTTCCAGGGTCATGTGATCCCCTTCTGCAACCTTTTGACAAGCAAAGTCAATGGCAGAGCTGCTGGTGGCCAAATGCTAAGGCGGGACTTCCTTTCCTCCCTCCCTTCCCTGCCTCCCTTTTTCTCATTCCCATCTCCTTCTGAAGGAAGAATTTGAAACCCCCCCATATTTTCCCTCTTCCATATATTGATCAAACAAGGAAAGGCCTCCAGAGACAGAAAAGACAAGCTGCTGAGTGAACTAGCTTAAAAAGACACATTCCCTTTTAAGAATTAGCTACTGGCTAGAAAGGAAAGTAAGGAGCGCAGCCGGCACTTAAGAAAGAAAAAAAAATGTAAGTATTGGCTGCCGGCTAAGGCAACCTCCCCAAATGGCTCCATTCATAAGTAAAGGAATGCTATAGGCAAAATCCATTCAGCAGAAAAATACTTCAAAATCCCTTGCAGCAAAACTTACAGCTAACAACAGCAGAGCAATAGAAGCTAACACGAGACATTAGCCAAATAGAAATTGCCAAACACTCCTTAAGAACACAAAGCCCTCATTGCACAAATCCCAGAACTTCAAAGTCACAAAAGCACATAAGAATCCTTCCACTCTCCATCTCCTTCCCTCCTCCGTGCCTCACCTCCAGCCATTGCTGCCTTTTTTCATTCCTCTTGGAGGGCGACCCCTCCCCCGCTGCATTTCTTGCCTGTTTGCTGCTGCCATCACAGATGGCTGCCACAGCAGTTGTAGATCGGCTCATGGCCAGCCTGCTTGATCTCCTCTCCCCCCACCCTCCCCCTCCTTCTTCCCCTTCGGTGCAGCTGGCTCCGCCTCCTCCCAAGGCTGCTGCTTTTTCTCTCTCTCCCTCTCCTGCCCAAACTGCCTCCTTTTATAGCAGTGGTTCTCAACCTTTTTAATGCCGCGACCCCCAACCGGTCGTAAGTCGAGGACTAAACCGGTCGTAAGTCGAGGACTAAACCGGTCGTAAGTCAAGGACTACCCAACCAGTCGTAAGTCGAGGACTTTCCCTGCTCGGGAGCGCCGTGCATGTGTGGTTCCGCTCCCTGCGCCGGCCGAGGCGTAGCTGGCAAGCGGCAGAGACGGAGCAGGCCGACCACAAGCTGGCCCAGCCCAAGGGAGGTAAGGCACCCGCCGGAAAAGGGGAAAAAAAATGGCGGACAGCCTTGCTTGGCGACCCCCGTGAAATGGTCGATCGACTCCAAATGGGAGTTGAGTTGAGAACCACTGTTTTATAGGCTCTCCTTTCTCTGCCCCCTCCTCCTTTCTCATGGGAGAGGGTGAGCCAGAAGTGAGCCTGGGGCCTTTGCAGCTCCAGAGGACTCTCTCACTGCAAGTCCTTGCCTGTGCTGGCTCTTTCCCTCCCCCACTACACTTGGCTAGGCAGGGCTGCATACCACATGCCACTCATTAATGTACCACAAGTGGTACGCGTACCACCGGTTGAAAAGCCCTGTTCTAGTCCAACCACCTGCTCAAGCAGGAAACCCTATACCATTTCAGACAAATGGTTGTCCAATCTCTTCTTAAAAACCTCCAGTGTTGGAGCATCCACAGCTTCTGGAAGCAAGCTATTTCACTGATTAATTATTCTTATTCCCAGTCAACACCTGCCCTTGTTGTTATCAAGTAAAATAATGCCAATGGATTGAAAACTATCTTCCATTGTATTACATACCAATTCAAATTGTACCACATGCCAATTTAAATTGCAGATCTCAAAGCTATGCACTAGTATCTTGAATTTGTTTTAAAGTGCTCAATCTGAAATACAGAACTAGACACAATGGCTTTGCATATGACATTAGATAAGACTAACTATGATTAAACTCAGACCATACAGGAAATTGGAATCAGTTCATTTGACCAAAGCATTTTTTCCCCTTTTGGTTAATGTAAGAACCAGTCAAGGGAAATAATTTGGCCTTCTCCAATCTGGGGAAGGAATGCACATCAGATGCTGGGCTAGGAGTGAAGAAACCTGGCATGGAAGTTCACTGGATGTCTATGGAGATTCTCAGTCATCCATGTCATGGTTTGAAAGAGAGGACAAAGAAGCTGTCTAGATTAAGATTGAACAACCCTCTCTCAACAGAGGGGGAAGGATACAACACCACCTATCTCCTGTTTACAACATAGTCCTTTCAGCAGTGCCAAGAAGGTTCCACACCCATTTGCACTATTCAGGTGGTCCTGTGGGCACAGATAAACCTCCAAGAGGCTTCAGTGACTCAGAAAGAGTGTTAATGACCAGATGACTGCAAGAAACCTAAATCCTTCCATCCTCCACCATTCAGAACTGAAGAAGCTTCTTGGATGAGAAGCGAAACTTCTTCAAGGAAAAACAAAGTCCAGTTGCCTTTTGAAAAAGAACTTTTGGGACAAGTTCACTAGATGATTTGGGACCAGTTGCATTTTCTCAGTGCAATCTCCCAGAGTTATTGATGGGAGGATAAAAACCAGAGACAGTGCTGTGTATGTCACCTTGAACCACCTCCCACTATATCCTGCCTCCTAAATAAAATAGTAGGATATAAATATACTAAATAAATAATAACTTCTAGATGTTATGATCCCCATCCAGTAAGGCCAAAGCTTGATAATCTAAGTGAAATCTAATTCCAGTGTCATCCAGCATAGTTTTAGCTATATTTTTCCAATATACAATAAAATGGGCCTAAGCCATCATATGTTTATGTTTGTATCATCATAATTAATTTTGTACATTTCACCTCATTTGAAAAGACCAGGTCTTATGCAATATATTTCTATTGAAATGTGAAGATGAGCGAGTATAAGTAAAAATTCACATACAAAATTAATTCTGACTTACCCAGAAATTTTGAATAGGTAACTTTTTAAGGCACATTTTGGAGATAATTTTCTCTTTCAATAACTTTTGTATAAATTCTGCCTTTTATGCATCCAATGATATTTAGCAAGCATAGCTGACATCTGAGCATGACAGACCTAAACATACTCCAAGTTCCATGCTTAATTTTAAATATGTAAATAAACAGAATAAGAATTACTAACTATTTGATCTCCTATCACACAGGGTGGTTTAGTTGTACTTGTAGGAGTTGTGGATGTTACTGTTGTTGTTGTTGCAGTTGTTGAACATGGCCAATTGTGAGTCACCACTTGGCATTCAAAGGAGCAACTGGTAACGCTGCACATGCCTCCAGCATTGCTACTTGTTATTATTTCACCTGGATTTGAAAGATACATACTATAAGTAAAACAAAACAAATGTTTTTATTTTTAATTGTAAGCAGCCCAGAGTCACTTTGTAGAGTGAGATGGGCAGCATGTAAATTTAATAAACAAACAAACAAATAAATAAATAAATCATGCACATGTTTGTGTGCAATTTTCTTTAGAATGTTCTGCTTCCCAAATTCCTGGGCTTTAGAGTTGGATGCACAGCATTTGGGATTTGATTCCAAAAAGGTACTGCAGAGTGCACCAGATTAAGAAACATACCATCTGCCTGCAACTCTTTAAAGCAGCTGCATCTTTCAAAAGTTGCAGGCTGGGGCTACATTTATGCCTCAGTATGGTCCAAAGGACCTTAAATTCAAAATATTATACAACTGAATTGGTTTCTACAGAAATGCTGATGGATTAGCAGACGTCATTATTTCTTCATAGCAAACTGAATACATTTTAATTGTTAAAATAATACTATAATTACTGTCATAAGAATATATAACATAAAACAATTATTAGTATTAAAATAATAATACAGTTGGGAACAGGTTATTAACATCTTCAGAGCAAAGAATAAATGGCCATCTGTGATTATAAATGTATAAGACAGATGGTCATAATGTAAAAATAGTAAGAATAAGAGAGAACAAGGGGTTTAGCTATGTAACTATGACCAACCTATAAAATTCAACTGAAATGTATTAATCATTAGGACTGAACCATGGGCAGAGCTGAGCACCATGTCAAAATATAACCTTTTTTTTACAAGATTCCCATGGATTCTTCCTTGCAAGCTAAAGGGCGGTGGTTTTCTGTGTAACAAACTATATTTCTTTTCTTCTTATTTAAGTGTGTCTGTCATCTTGGAATCAGCCCAACACATTCTAAATTCTCCTCTTTGTTAAATAACAATAGAAAGGGAAACCAACATTTAGGGGTATTCTATGCAATTACTGTATCAACTTTCCTCCATTGCATGCTACACTGCCTAGAAAGTTTGTTGTTGTTGGTTTTGGTGGTGGTGGTTTGTTAAACCCCTAAATTAATTAATTCAGAAATATGGTGCTGAGACCCACGGGGACAATTCTATTTATGTTGTTTAGGAACACTACCATAATGTCTTGGATTGGATATCCTGCACAGGTGTTTGTAAAAATGTTATATTATAACAATTGTAATTATTGTAATAATCTAATTAAAATAATTGTAATAATTTGTATGTATGTTAAGACCATCAGATTTGAGCCAGAAATACCGGGATGGCTATTCAATGGCTGCAAAGAGTTAGATTTTTCTGTATCTCTTTGCTCCCATCCAGTAGCTGCCTGAACTTTTGCAATCAGGATGTATGTGAGTGTAGTAGCAGCAATAGCACTTAGACTTACGTACTGCTTCACGGTGTTTTACAGCCCTCTCTAAATGTTTTACAGAGTCAGCATACTGCCCCCAACAATCTGGGTCTTCATTTTACTAACCTCAGAAAGATGGAAGGCTGAGTCAACCTTGAGTCGGTGACAATCGAACTGCTGGCAGTTGGCAGAATTAGCCTGCAATATAGCATTCTAACCACCGTGCTACCATGCCTCTTTAGTATGTGTGTGTGCATTATTATCAACTACAAAAATCAGTCAATGTTGAAATACTTAGAAATACTACTACTTAAATAAAATGTCTAATAAGACCAAATCAATATGTACAGGTAATTCTCATTATTCAGGGAAGTTGTTTTCTATGAAAATGCTGCAGTGCTGAAGCCTCAGCTGGGGGCATGTGCATTGGGCTATTTCAATGTTTTGCTGCTCTGCATGTCCACAAATAAGTGCAACAGCACCATGACTACTGATTATAAGGGTAACGAAAAAATCCACATTTTTACAAATGATTGAATGTGCAAATAGAGAATGTGTAAATAACAAGGATTACCTGTATTGTGTAGTTGATGTAGGCTTTATATGTACATGCTAGAAATTCTATGGATTCCAAGTATAAAACTAATGCTAACTTTGGCACTAAGTCAGCTAAGCCACGCAGCAGAATTTCTTGTTATTCCCATCAATTAATTCTTTATTGACTTCCAGTCAATTTCCTAAAACTTCTTTCACCTCCCAAAAAATTAGGTTAAAAATCTTGGGACCTCCCATTCCAAGAATGATCTTAGGGGCTTTAGAAGCAGCGTTGACTGACTCATATATAGCCCTGAACCCTCCATTTACTTTCTGACAAGGGGAATGACAACAATTTTAAAGTGGATCTGAAGTCAAGAAATATACGAACTGTACATCTGTCTATGCCCACTCATTCTTTCCGATTTTATTTCTTTAAAAATATTGCCTGGAATTGTTGAAATTCAGCAGCTTTTTTTTTCTATGGGGATGAGAACAAAAAAAAAGGACCAGAGGGAAAAGGAGCATTGCAACTAGTGGAAACACCTCAATTTAGAAACTGCCCTCCGTTACTGAGGATTGTAATAAGTTTTGGGGGAATAACTCATTTGCTATGGAATAAATATCCAAGGTGATGGATTTAGAACTTATTTACCGTTCCTAATAGTTCAAAAAGCAGTTGCTAGCATTTCCAAAATAACCATTGTCTTAAAGAGAATTGAAGAGGTCGCAATGCACTGTAGTAATGTTAAAATAGAGAAAACTAAATTATCAGCCTAGTTAAAAGGAAATATAATTGTTAGAGAATCTATGCATAAATATGCTACCAATTAGTGTCAGGAAAATACAGCAATAATTTAAGCAAAAAAGAATTCAGATAATTACCTGGATAATATATAGCGCCGTTCGCAACACAATAGCAAGGTGTTGAACTTCTTGTGGTTACAGTTGGGGTAGGGGTAATAATTGTGGTAGTAGGGCTTTCGGTAGTGGAGGTAATGGTAGGAGTAGGAGTGGGAGTGGGAGTAGATGGAGTGGTGGTAATTGTGGTTGTAGGGCTTTCGGTAGTGGAGGTAATGGTAGGAGTAGGAGTGGGAGTAGATGGAGTGGTGGTAGTGGTAGTAGGGCTTTCGGTAGTGGAGGTAATGGTAGGAGTAGGAGTTGGAGTGGGAGTAGATGGAGTGGTGGTAATTGTGGTAGTAGGGCTTTCGGTAGTGGAGGTAATGGTAGGGGTAGGAGTTGGAGTGGTAGTAGATGGAGTGGTAGTAATTGTGGTAGTAGGGCTTTCAGTAGTGGAGGTGGTAGTGGGAGTAGATGGAGTGGTGGTAATTGTGGTAGTAGGGCTTTCAGTAGTGGAGGTAATGGTAGGGGTAGGGGTTGGAGTGGGAGTAGATGAAGTAGTGGTAATTGTGGTAGTAGGGCTTTCAGTAGTGGAAGTGCTGGTAGGAGTAGGAGTGGGAGTAGATGGAGTGGTGGTAATTGTGGTTGTAGGGCTTTCGGTAGTGGAGGTAATGGTAGGAGTAGGAGTTGGAGTGGGAGTAGATGGAGTGGTGGTAGTGGTAGTAGGACTTTCAGTAGTGGAGGTGCTGGTAGGAGTAGGAGTTGGAGTGGGAGTAAATGGAGTGGTAGTAATTGTGGTAGTAGGGCTTTCAGTAGTGGAGGTGGTAGTGGGAGTAG